TCTCCCCCGGGAAGTCGCCAGCCGACATTGGCTGGCAGGTGGAATCCGGAGGAGACCTAACCTGTGAGATCTAATCAGTCTATGGGAGGTAATCGGCAGGAGGCGGTCTCTTAGACTGCAACAACTTATGGGTGTAATTCCAGGCTCATTTATGGTCGTAAGTTGAGGACCATCTGTAAGGACCAAGCCTTGAGAGAGGGGCCATAGACTTGACTGTTTATCCCCCCACCAGCCTAGAATAGATGTCAGAAGCAGCTGAAAGATGCAGGACAAAAGAAAATGCATAAATGCTATCCGTATTTAAGGTGTACCTCATATAAGAAGCCAATGGAGAAGGTTATCTATGAGTTTGGAGTAAAGTATCCTCCATATGTATAATTTATGCAAACCCATTGGTTGCTTTTAATCCCCCCCCCTCCCCGCCGCGTTATAATTGTAAACCAACAGAGTTGTTTTTGGAATCAGGTGGTCCTTAAATCAAACGAACAAATAACAGGGATGATCCCAGTTGTGGCTCTCCACCTAGAATCAAACAGGAGAAGCTCTGGAGATCATGATGTGACGGCTGGCGGTTGAGCTTGGCAAGGCAGGGTGATGACAGCATCATCCACAAGAGGGGATTTCTACCATCCTCACCCCTGGTGTGGGACGGCTGATTATCTGGGTTCTTTTTTCCAGCCAGGACCTTGGTATGAATCCTGATCGAAAACAACCGAGATAAACTGCTTCACTTAAGATCTTTGGCCCTTGTTTGTGAGCGTGCAGGTAGAAATTGTCTAATCCGGGGCGTTCAAGAGAGCGCGCGCCATTTCCTCTTTCAAGGAGGCATTTACTGGATTACGCCTCTTCCCCGCCTCTTGGCCTGACCTAAGAGACGAGATTGCTTGTGAGCCGGTGTGCAAGTGTAATAATACAGAGTGTGTGAGAGTGCAGCAGCCAGTCGGTGGAGTCCCTCACAACCTCCTCTCATCCATCTTGAGGGCTTTTTCTCCATTCCATCTTGAATTTGCACCTAGCAGAAGCCTTCACGCTCCATTACATGCATCCTTCACGTCATACATGCTAACCATTGATTGTGCAACCTGTCTTCTCACACCGTGCGTCTTTTCCGTGTGAATCATGTCGGGGGGGAGAGAAATGACAGAGCTGTCGGGGGCCAAGGAAGAGCCGTTTCAATCATACCAGTCTTTTTGACATGAGAGAAGAGGAAGCTTCTAAAAATATTTTCTTTACAAAGATAACCATGGTTTCCTGTGAGTGGTGCAGTGGCCTAGAGGTGGAGCTCTCGCCTCACCATCAGGAGGCTGTGAGTTCGATCCTAGGTAGAGGCAGATATTTCTCTCTCTCTCTCTCTGGGCATAATGAGAATATATCTGTTGAACAAAACTCCGCATTGGCAACAGAGAAGGGCATCCGGCATGTAAAGAAGAGCCAAGGTGGCGCAGTGGTTAAATGCAGCACTGCAGGCTACTTCAGCAGACTGCAGTTCTGCAGTTCGGCTGTTCAAATCTCA